CCACCTCTTCAAGAAGGTCTCAGTCCGGTTGCTTTCAGAATTTTGAAAAAAACTGCCCTAACAAACCACACTTAGGGGTCAAACGAACTTGGGGTCAGTTGAACTGAATCAAACAGGGCAGGTGTGAAAGCACCCTTAGACCTCATATGTAAATTGTAGGCTACGTCGAACTGGCCCTAGAAATAATATTCATGTACAATTAATTTGAAACAGCAAATGTTTTTTTAGAGAAATGTAATGTCAAGCAAATTATGTTTGCTAGTAACATTATGAAGAAATTTTTCAAACTAAAATATCTTGCAAGTCGCAAAAATGCTGATACTGAACGAATCAATAAAATGTTCACTAAAAATATTTTTCAGTTTTTAGCAAAATGTTCACTGACAACATATTTCAAATGTTTTCCGCCCAAACAGTATCCACTCGTAGTGATTATAGCATTATTCTTAGCTTTTTTATTAACATTTAACCAAAATCACAATCTATCCCAAACCTTAACTGAAGTGCGTCAGTTGCCGAAACCCAAGACAGGACTCTTAGTTATTTTGTCTTTCATTAAAATGTAGCCTAACCAAATTCACAATCTTTTCCTAACGTTAACCAAAGTGCTTTTGTTGCCTAAACCTTAGACAGGAGCCAGGAGGCAAATCTGAAGTACTAGTGTCAAGGTCCTGCACTTTGTACGCCCACCATCCTCCAGAACCACCACTGTCCGAAGCCTGCGTGATACATGAATGTAGCAGGGCAGCAATTACATTGCAGCAACTACATCATTAAGAAACATATGGAAATAAGTTCTTGGAGACAGGATTGGTATAACAGTAAAGAAGACAATCAAATATTGTCATCTTGTCAAATACTGAAGGAGTGTGACATTTTGTTAAAAGGCGACAGCTAGCAGCCAGTTAGCTTAGATTAGCACAAAGAGTGACCACCGGGAAACGGCTAGCTTGGCTCTGTCCAAATGCATCATACCAACATCTCTTAATCTCACAAATGAACACATTATAGCATGTTTGTTAACTCCGAACAAAAATCTAAGTACACAAAATAATACATGGTGTTTTTTACATTGGGGATATATAGCATACTTTGTTATGCTAATTATTTATGCTAAGTTAAGATAAAGCTGCTAGCTGTAGCTTTATATTTATTGTACAGAAAAATGGTATCAAGCTTGTCAACTATTCTTTGAACTTGAGTTAAAGGACACATCCCATCTAGTCTTTTTGGATGTGTTCATGTGTTTGTTTTAAAGCCACAGTGTGTAGGAATTTCTCCCATCTAATGTTGAAATCATATATTGCATTCAAACAGATGGCGCACTCTAGCGCCTCACTGTTTCAAACACGTATTGCAACAACTGTAGCCGCTGTGTACCAAAAAGCTATGATAACACTGATGAAACCATGTCATCCGATACTACATGGAGTATTCATTCAGGCTCCTACACAGACACACGCGACGCGAGTTGACAAACCCCCTCCTCACCATGCTGGCTGTGTTTACAACGTAGGACTGTTGGGGCGGATGTAAATTGAAACAAACCATTCACGTCTTGTCCTTTGACAACTGACAAGTGGCTCAACCTCACACACCTCATCCCTCTCCTCGCATTACTGCGCCGCTAACAGCTGTTAGTGGCCAGCGGCACTACTGCCGCATAACAAAGTCCCACTCTTTGAGCATAATGCAGGATCATGTATTATGCAGCATCATGGGAGACGGAATCCTCGTCGCCAAGAAAGTGCAAAAGGGAATCAAAAAGGCAGCGTGACCGGCGAATTAAAAAAACAAGGGTCAGCATTGGGGTTGCCTTTCCCAGGTGGAGAGAGCTGCTGAAGGAGAAAGGTAATACAATCACAGGCCAGCGCTAACAGCAGCTAACAGCGGCTAACAGCGGTGCAGTGATGCGAGGAGAGGGATGAGGCTGTTAGCGACTGGCGGCTAACAGCGGCTAACAGCTAACAGCGGCACAGTGATGCGAGGAGAGGGATGAGGCTGTTAGCGACTGGCCGCTAACAGCGGCTAACAGCCAACAGCGGCGCTGGCCTGTGATTGCATTAGAATTCTCCCTCAGCAGCTCTCTCTACCTGGGAAAGGCTACCCCGATGTGGGCCTTCGTTTTTTTTAATTCGCCGGTCACGCTGCCTTTTCTATTCCCTTTTGCTCTTTCTTGGCGACAAGGATTCCGTCTCCCATGATGCTGCATATGCATGATCCTGCATTATGCTCAAAGAGTGGGACTTTGTTTCAAATTTGCCAGGGTAGTAGCGAAGCGCCTCTTGCTCCTCTCCTTCGGCTCCTCAGTCACGCAGTGCTGGCCTGGCTCTCAACGAAAACGACAAAGGCGGTGCTGTATGTCCCTTGCTGGCGGGTGTATTCTCAAGATGGCGAAACGTAATGGAACCCCACAGACGACTTACCCGCACAATGTACAAACAAATCCGAAATTCTCCTTTTACGAGAATAAGTCAGATTATTGGTGGAGGTAATAGTACACCACTGATGACATATTTATGAATGCAGACATCGATTTTTGCCAATAAACAACTGAAAATGTTACACAATGTCCCTTTAAGCACGCCTCAGTGGTTAGTCCCACAGTCAGCAGGAACATAGATGCTGCATTCCTGTGTGTCACTGAGGGCTAATTAAAAAGATAGATAGTCATGGTATTATTCTTTGTTCAACAGGAAATAGGAATTATTATTTCTTTTTTAACCAGAACATTTAAACGGAATTTTTTGCTCCCATGCACTTTCTGCTCTAGCCTTTCACTTGAACTGGCACAGTTTCAGTCACCCATTTAATTTTCACATGACAAAACCCCACTTTGCTCACATTTTTGGAACCTTGCATTATGTTATCAGTCGTATCTGTGCACACCAAACAGATGTTTGTAATTTTCCTGTTTTTATTTTTAATAGCATTGAGATAATGATGATAGTTTGACATATTCTCCATTGTTGTATTGTATTGTAGTCGGTTGCCTAGCTGTGGTCTTTTCTTTACATGCTAGAGCATCCACTGTCACAGTGGGGTTACAGCTATAGCACATTTATTATGGCTGACTGGATGAAATAGTTCACCCATTAGGTCCCTGCACGGCACCTTGGATTTATACTTTTAATTTAGTGTTATTAAGCTCCATTTGGTAATATTTCTCATAATTCTATGGATATATTCTCACTATATAAAATGTATTTCTTTACTGTCTCGGGGGGCTGACCTTTGACAGTGGCTCAAATTAATGAGAAATGGTGATCTGGATTGAAACGATGACCTTTTGTTGCCAAGCGACCGAGTAACTTCTTCAGCAGTGGCTTATCATCATAAAATACTGCACCATGGGTAGTTGTCAGGCCTCCCCTGAAGGTTTTGACAGAGCTGACCTTATACAAGTAGGGTTTTTTTTCAAGTTTGTGATATTTTCATAACCACTGTGAATACAGTATGCTAGTATTCAGATCCACATTGTTGCACTTCAGCCACACAAGCGCACTTGGTGCTCTACCGAGCTCTTAAGTGTATGTCTGGAGTGACTGAATTTCCTTGCCTGCAAAAACAAGGAATCATTTTGAGGAGGAGTTCTCCTACCAAGCTTCAGTAAACATACTGAACATATAAACATGTTTGATTGCATTGTATTTTTAGGTGTTCCTGCTGTGTTTACCCCCTCCATTGCACCACAGCAAATACTGTAATTAGCTGTCATGGTGTTGTCATCTGTGCACCCAGTCTCATTTCCTGTTGCCTGGGTGTTGAGCTGTAGCTCGTTGCATTAGCAGTGATCATTAGCAGACAACAAAGCTTTTCCCCCTCAGTCAGATGTCCCCAGAGGTTATTGAAGCCTCTCTTCGCTGATACAATCTGTATATGACAACAGACAGGCGAGGAAATCAATAGTATACCCCCAAAGCAGTGGTGGTATGAAGTTTATAATCACAGATGGGACATGTTTGCTCCCTTTGGTATGTGGAGATGAAGAAAGATCACATCCACTGATATAAAAGTAATGTGAGGTTAGGCCATTGTAGCCTTGGGTTTAGCTTTAAATAATGAAAAGGAATTCATCTGAGAAAACATCTCTGACTATGATGCCCTGGAGATTTAGATTCAGACTGCTGAGACTAATAGAACAAGACGTTGCTGCGTAGTTCATGTATTGATCATCTATGTTTTGTTGGGCTCTGTAGTGCTGAATTTCCCATTTTTTATGTGTTTTTGAGGCACATATGAAGTTAAAACTGCAGGACCTGTACGTGCTCCAGCTGCTTATTTAAGAAAAAGCTCTAAGTTTTTCTTAGTTGAATTTCCAACATGAGCACAATAAGAAAGGTCACTTGGTCCGAACACTGGAACACGCTTGCGGCGAAATATGTCCAGCCATTTTTCAAAGCTCTGCCAGCAAAGTATTAAACAACCAAACACACTATAAATATTTCATAAGTGTTCCCACACAGCATTTGGGAAAGTGTTTAATATCAAGTCTGTAATATGATGAATGGAGTTCAAATGGTTGTGTTTGTTTTGATATGTCTATAGAGGCCGCCGAGGAAAAATGTATGCATGAGTGGAAAGTCCCGATGTATGGTCACCTTCATTAATAAACAATCAATGAATTGACTCAGTGTGAATGTTCTGGCTTTAATAAAAGCTAGTGATTTTTTTGTCATTCTTGGTTGGCTTAAAAAGTGGTTTAAAGAGTCAACTGATTTGTTCATTATCCAGCTATACTGTTGAGACCATGTAGTAGCTATGTTATTCTTGAGCTGAAGTGACGTAAGATCAGGCTTTCCTTTGATCAATTTCCAATCCGTAGCCTTGGTCATAGTAAATGTAAGGGTCCTCGAGTCATAAATATTATAACCACCCAGAAAACTAGGTTTGGCTCAATGCTCTCATATGTGCAGTATATTTTCCTCAACAGTTGTTCCTTTTCCTTTCCACCAGATTGAGGGTTTGATCGCTGTTCCTGTGTTTTCTTTGTCCTCCAGAGAAAGAACATCCACCTGCTGCTGAATGTGTTTTTGCTGGCAGCCTGGGGAGCCATCCTATTGGCCTGCCGATTCTACTGGATGGGTAACAAACCGCCTAACTTCTCCAACTCTGACAACCCGGCAGCCGACTCCCCCTCGCTCCTCACCAGAATGCTGACATTTTTCTACCTGCCTGCTGTCAACTTCTGGCTTCTACTTTGCCCGGACATGCTCAGCTTTGATTGGTCAATGGACGCCCTGCCTTTGATCAGGAGCCTTGCTGATTGGAGGAACATTCACACGGTGGGCTTCTACCTTGCATTGCTCCTGCTGGCTTGGTTCAGCCTGTGGATGCACCACATCGGTAAAGGCAAGGAGAGTAATGGCAAAGCGCATCATTACACCAATGGCAGAAATGGGAACAGTAACGGACATAGTTACCAATACAACAATCACGAACATATGAACAATTCCAACACAGACGCTTGCATTAACAGTGCACAGAATGGTACCAAAAAGCACTATGAGAGCAGGACTTCACTGCCCACCACTGAAAATGTTGTGGTGTTCTCTCTGGGCCTGCTGGCTATCCCTTTCCTCCCTGCCACAAACTTGTTTTTCTATGTGGGGTTTGTGATAGCAGAGAGAGTACTCTACATCCCCAGCATGGGCTTCTGTTTGCTGGTGGCGGTGGGGGTGAGGTCTTTGTACGTCCGTCTGCGGCACAGGTCCACCAGGGCCATGTTGGTGTACTGCAGCGCTGCCATGGTTCTTCTTTTCAGTGTCAAAACTGTATTGAGGAACCGGGACTGGCAGAATGAGGAGATGCTCTACAAGTCAGGGATTTATGTCAATCCTGCTAAAGGTAAGGCTCTTTCATTCTGAATCAGCATGCACAGAGGTGCGACAGCTCCAACATGTGCACACACACACACACTTTTTTTACAATTTTACTACACATTCCCACACCAAAACCTCTTTCACCCATCATATTTTGCTGTCTGAATAGCGAGCAAGCTCTTAGGCACAGTTTTGAATTTGATAATGTGTGCTGTCGCTCTACTGCCGCCCTGAATAATTCAAAGTCAAGCTGCTTCAAAATGACTTCTCTTCGTCACTCAGCCTCACCGCAGAATATACAAGTGCTCACGAGTACAAGTCAGTTAGTTGTACTACTCAAGGCTAAATTTATCCTTCAAAAATGCACTTTATTTTACTGTTGCAAGGAATACAACAGAGCTGTACCTCTTTATCACACATCATCTTATACCCAGCATGCAATCTGTTTTATGACACCAAATGCCCCATCTCACTTGGAAGGGCACCATCACACGTCTCTGATTGGCACCTTTAACAGCAGATAAAATATTCAATAGCCTTCATATTCAAGGTCATCAGACACAGATCCCCACCCGAAGCAAAGTTGTCAGAGCTGCTGAGGAGGGGAGCAGGGCAGGGTACTCGCAAGGCAATAGCGGGGACACGTTGTGTTAGCTAATTTCCCTTTCAGATTCAGAGCGGAGCTGAGGCGTGACAGCTGTTTGTTTTGGCAGGCCATCAGCCGAAACAGAGCAGCAGCAATGTCCCCGACTCACATTCATTATAGCTAATATGAGATTTGAACAGAACCCAACCTCAAACACAGGCACACTCATTGGATTGTTTGAGCTGTGAAATTTCAGGATGCACAAAGGAACTCTTATCCGACAAAGATGCTTTATAAATTCATCTGTGCGTAACTGGAAGCACAGTCGAATGAGGGATGCTCGGGTTGTTTTTATCTGCTTGTCTCAGTATATACTGAATATTCTTCTGGGATCCATAATGATGATGATTTTCCACAGCTAAATACTGTAATTACGTCACTTAAAAGCACGCTGCATATTTTAGCACTTCCAACACGTGTCAACAAAAGCATCAAGAGCCAGCACTGCGAGGTGCGAGAAGAAACAAAATAATGTAACAATGACTTCATTAGGCCTGTCTATGTTTATTTAATGACTGTTTGACACATTGAATCAGTTTAATCATAATTATTGTCATGCTTGTGCAGCAGAGGTGGGACCAAGTCATGATTTTGCTCAAGTCTTAAGTCCTTGCTCTAAAGTCTCAACTCAAGACAGTCAAGTCCTGAATCAAATTCCAGGTCCTAAACAAGTCATAATGTGCTCTTCACCAAATGTAATGCCAAAACGACAGACTAATGATTTATTAAATTCACAAAAATCATAAATGCTTTGTAAAAATTGGATTTATTTCTTAAAATAAGGGTTTTAAAAAGTTATTTAGCTTTTAAGCTAACATAAACTAAGCATTAGCTTGCTTACTGTGCTAATATTAGCTTCAGCTTACCGTTCTTTGTGCAACTTTGAGTGCCAAACAAAGTTGGAAGTTGTTGCCTCGCCATTTGTAATTTTCAACCTGCACGTTTTGCTCGTCGAAATGTATTTTTGTTGACCAGTGTGTAATTTTTGTACACAAACAAAATTATCCTTGGTATCAGTAGCCCTTTTTAAACAGGAATTGTGCAAATTTGCAGGAAAGCCCAATCAGTCTTCTTTCAGCATTGGCAGTATAAAAACAAAATCGGGGAGTGCAGCAAAATGCCGCCTGCCTACTTTTGTTTATACAGAATGCACCTTTTTTGGGGCAATGGGAGGCGTGAGCAAGTAACAAAACGTGTAGCTCAGCATGTGACGTAAACAGTGACATGGGACGGAAGCCGCAGCTAGTCAGTCCTTCGGCAATTCTCTTGTAAGTTGGCCCGTCCTTCACCATCCCCGTCATCTGACGGTTTTAATGGCCTCTTCGTTTGCGAGGGCAATTCTTTGTCTCCCCAGTTGCTCATCTTTACAGTGTCTGTCAGGTTTGTGTTTCCCTCTTGCTACTAGCTGCGCGCTAATTCCTGCTATCAGCTGTTTCCTGTTTATCCACCGCCAGTGGGTCGCACATGCGGTGTCATCAACAGCTCCTCCCACAAGTCTTCAACAGCCCCTCCCGTTGCGGAAGGTCACCTTGGTCTGTTTAAACTAAAAGGGTTCCGCCAATATGACTACCCTACAAGGCGGATTGCAGCTTTTCGGCAAAACGGCCCAACATTTGCCGAAAAGCTGGCAGTGTAAAAGGGGCTATTTTTTGCGTTAGTAGATTAGGAAAATGAAGGGCAATGAATTAAGAGTAAATGAATTGATTCACGGCACACTTTTGAATTAATCTTTGGCCTATCAAGTATTTTCAAGTCAAAAGGCTCAAGTCCAAGTAAAGTCACGAGTCATTGGTGTTAAACTCCAAGTCAAGTTGCAAGTCTTTTTTGACTTTGTTGAGTCTAAAGTCATCAAATTTGTAACTAGAGTCCGACTCAAATACATGTCATGTGACTCTAGTCCACATCTCTGTTGTGCAGACTGTAAAAAGAAAAACCTTAAGAACAGATCAGTGATGGTATTATTTTACAAAGCAATCAACACTGGCCACCATCACTCTGCCCATACATTTCATTTCACACTCCACACGCAAAATGTATAAAAGCTCTCAGCAACCTTTTTTCACCTGTCAGTCTCTTCACCCTGCCATTCAACACTAATGCCATTAGCTGAGCAAAAGCACTGTGGTGGTCTTCTTTTCAGACACACTGTTATAGAAATGACTGGTGCTTTTGGCTCACACCTCCCCTGGTGTGTCATTTTTCTTTACCCATAATGCTTTTCTCTTTAGAATTTAAAGAAAACCACTGAACCCGTGTCAGTAAGTGGCTGAGAATAACAAAAGAATATGATTACTTGCCATAGAAATGTTCTGTCCTGCTGCTTTAATTCAAGAGCTTTTTAAGATTCTGAAAAAAATAATTAAAGAAGGTGTTCACAGTTAATTCTGTTTGATTAACCTTTTCTTTTGTAACCCGCTATCAGCATGGGGCAACCTTGGAAACGTCCTGAAGAGCCAGGGCAAGATGGAGGAGGCTGAACAGGCGTACAGAAATGCCCTCTATTACCGCAGCAACATGGCTGACATGCTGTATAACCTGTGAGTTTGTGTTGTATTTTTATTTTCTTATTCTCAATGCTCAAGTACCTTTGCCTTTTGATTTTGTTAAGTGCTGTCGATGCGCTTTTGTGCTTGTGTACTTGGTTGTCTTTTAAAGTGCGTCTTCATTCATAGCTGAGTGACTGTGGAATGTATGCGACAAATGTGGGAGTTCTCCTTTTACATGCGTGTGTCCATTGATCAGAGTGTTTCTCTCAGAGGAAGTGCCGTCTTGTCTTGTATTCCCCAGAGTGCTGTCTGTCTGACAAGGTTATTAATGATGCTGTTTTAGCCTGAGGGGGAAACACAAAACATCCACAGCCTCACACTCAAATGTATGCTCAAATGTCTGTGGTTTGCTAAGATCTAAATCTTCCTCCTCACTTTTATCAGCTGCCCGTGTCCTCGTCTAATCCTAACAGAGGCTTTTTGACTTTTAAACGTTCTTTAAAGCTCTAAACTGCCTGTACTGTGTCTCCTTTTGTCTGCTCCAGCGGTTTGCTGCTACAGGAGAGCAACAAGTTCTCAGAGGCGCTCCACTACTATAAGCTGGCCATTGGGAGCCGGCCAACTCTGGCTTGTAAGTACAGCTCTTCTTTTTTATTGACAATCTCCAGCTCTTGCGGTTGTGGCTGCGCTGTGTCCAGGCAACAGTGCATACAGGCTGTGGTCATGTGAAGGGAGAGGAATAGGTGGCAAAGGGCAGTGGGTATACAACTGAACTCAACATTCAACGCAGCTGTCTGACTGGCTTTCAAAGCCGACTCATGTCAACAGATCAGGCAGCTGCATGATGTCATTTATTATGAATTCAGGCCATGACGCTCCTATTTCATTTCATCCCTCCTACGTTCACTGCTTCTTCTTCTTTCTCTCAGTTTTTGGCTCCCTATCACCCCACCATGAGAATTAGCCACAATTTAACTGCTTTTGCTAGAATTAAATTTTCCGTCGTCAGCAGGTTGATTAGAACAAATCGCTCACAATCTTACCTGATCATGCAATAAATTAGCTCCCCATTGTTCCAGGCATCAGTCAATGACAGAAAAACAGAGAATCTTAAACGTCTCTTCCTTTCTTCCCTTGGATTAATTATCGACCTAATCAAGATCGCGGTTAGACTAGAAAATTTCCATTTAGCGTGCAATTATCCAATCTGTTATAGCCAATAACAAGGTTAATTAATTACCTCAAGCAGCAGACATGTTGATGGCAGAATTACAATGTGACAGTTAAAAGCGTTTTTCAAGGTTGAACCATTACTCACTGCCTAACTGGGAGCAAACGAGAGCAAACTGTAGCATTTTTGATTTAATATGCAGAGCTGTGCTGTTTTGTGATAAAGTGCTATTGATTTCTGTCACATTTTTGCATACAGGAAATCAATTTAGAAGGCGGACGAAATAGGAAAAAACTTGCTTTTGTCTATCTGTAGTTTTTCTTATCTGTTCTGCTGTCAGTGCAGATCTATGCAATGGAGAAAAAGCCTATATTTTGACCATCTGATGCAACACAATGCAGCACAGATGAAACTGTGAGGTGCAAGGATGTGGAATTAAATAATGTGAGCTTTTAAGATAACAAATTCCAAGGACAGAAGAGGAAGACGATAACGTGTCTGATGGAAAAACAACTGTTTGATTCTCATCCACCCTGCCTTAACTTGATTACACGTCAACACCCTATAGAAGAGCCTTCCAGATTGATCTGCTGGATCAAGTTAATTTATTCCAACAGACAGACTTGATAGGGAGTTGTTTAGAGAGGCAGGTCTACAGAGACTAATTACTCTCCAGCCGCATATCGATTATTAGATGCTGTCTTTGACCACTCAAAGAAAAGTTTAACAAGCATCCAGAGTGTCTCACAGGATGCATGCAAAGGTCGGATATACAGTAAAGCATTAATAAGGCCAACAGTGGTTCATCATTCCGCCTCAGAGGGGTTATACATATAGAAATTATCATTATGCATCTCTTCAGCAGCATTGATCTCTGAGGCTTCAGATGAGTGACACCACTTTTCCACCCAATTAGCAATGGTTTTTAAGTAAGCAAGTAAAACGTATTTATATAGCCATTTTCGCAAACATAGGTCACAAAGTGCTTCACAAGGGCAATATACAACAGAGAAGAAATCATAAAGACAAAGTGACTACGTGAGCCACTTAGTGAAAAGTGCACAACCAGTAAAACTATTTGGACCGGTTCGCTAACCGGTTCTGTTCAGGATTCTTGAAACCTTGGTGCTATCTAGCGAACTAGCCTATGTTTCCACCAGTTTTTAGCAAAACTGTTGTAATCAAGGAGGCGTCAACAATGGAAGGTGTTGCACAGTGCACAACTGAAGGAAACAGTAGTAGCAGGATGTTGAATCACATTGATTAGCTGCAAGCTTTGTTCTGTTAAAACAGATATTTGTCTTTATCCAAAAAACAAGCATGGTCCAACAAGTTATGTCAGAATAGAAAAGAATATTACACGCCTACTGTCATCACTGTTCGCACTTCAGGTCAAGGAAAATCGTTATTTTTAGTTCCAGCTTGGAACTTACTTTTCAGGTTCCAAAATGCTCCGAAGTGCCCAAAATTAGGTGCACAAATCAGAACAGAACCATGTTGGTGGAAAAGGGGTTTAAGAGACACTTGTAGATTTGGCGAAAAAGGCTCTTCTCTTTGAGCAAGCACTCAATGAATCCAATCATCAACATGGATTCTGTTCAGAGATCCAGTTTCCCCTTAAAGAACACCTTAACTCAAAAAATGACCACATATAGAGGACATTTGGGTCAGGGAGGAAACTGTAGTAGTTAACATTGTAAGCATGAACATATCAGCGGAGTGACACTGAGTAGAGTCAGGTAATAGTGGCCACACTGTACACCGGCATAAATATGTTGACATAAGTCAGCTGAAGGAAACAACTGATCCAATCAGGTAAGGCAGGGAACCTCAAGTGTTCAGCCAGAACTGTCACAATTCTCCATGTTTTGTTTCTCCAACAGCGGCCTACTTGAACACGGGCATCATCCTGATGAATCAGGGTCGCCTAGATGAGTCCAAGCGCACTTTCCTGACCTGCGCCGACATCTCAGATGAGAACCTGAAGGATCCCCACGCACACAAGAGCTCAGTCACCAGCTGCTTGTACAACCTGGGCAAGCTGCTCCATGAGCAGGGACACCAGGAGGTATGGATTCAAACTGTAGAAAAGTTAGGCCTGTCACGATAACTGTGTTATCAACTTATTGCACAATATATAGACATGACCTTGGATCATTTTGCTGGCCTCAGTACTGCCTATTGTGTTTAGATGCTTGTTTTTTTACATAAGAATGTCACCAACATTTCAGCCAGCATGATGACAGAGTAAATAACAGGGTTTTCCTGACCATTACTTCGGCGCTATGAATCTCCCTTTTTTTCACTCAAACAAAGTTCTCATAGGTAAAAACAATAGCCTGTAGCTGCACTTTTGAAATGGAAAAGGCACAGTCCTGATAGTCGTTAATTTGCCAAAACCCTGGCAACGAGCCAGCTAGATTATGGAGGTAACTGCAGTGTTCCCGGAGTTTCACTAAGCTTTTTTTATTAGTTGCAAGAGGCATCACATGGTTTTGTTGGCCAAATTTTGTATCGAGTCTCAAACTGAGTAATTTCAGTCAGCTCCTTTAAAGGTACTATAATTTTATTTTATATACTTTCCTACCAGGTTCTCCCTTTTAAAAATGTTTTTTTTTTTTTTCATATTCCATTTCCAATGTTTGAATATTCTTAAAAATTAAAAGTTAAATGCTCTTCGAGAGGATCTACTTGCGTTATTATGCCGTTATATTATCATTATATCAGTGGCAAAAACTGGTCTCAAAATGACAGTAATATTGGTTATCGCAATTATTTCTGGGATAATATATCATCCAGCAAAAATAGGCATCATGACAGGCCTCAGACAATACAGCTCACATATTGCTTTGAAAAAAAAACCTTAAAGATACATATTTCTAAATATTTCAGCACGTGAGTTACACTTAATTCCTTAACTTACATATATATTTTGGTAAACAGAGATATGCTGAGACAGTCATAATGTTATTTATCAGTTAAGTTCATTGCAATATGAAATAAATGTGCTATGTGGAGATGACATTCCTTCAAAATCCTGTTTTTTATCTTTATAATGTACATGTTGGCCCCTCAGTATATGAAATATAAAATGTCTTGACTTCATTTGGTGTAGTTTACGTGCAAAAATATTTTTTGGCTCACATTCATGTTTTTTGAAACATGCCTGCAAACACACTTTGTCTCACACTCAGAGGCTGCTGCTTTACTTGCAGTACATGCTAGAAAATGTAAAACCATAGTGAATTGAGATAAGATGCAGGCAGTTGCCCGAGGAGCTTCTGGGACACTGAGAAAATGTTCAGTTTTATATGGACATGTTCCAGAATTGCTTGTGTCATAGGGGACGCAATGTTTTGTGCAGATAATCCTCAGGCTGTTTCTAACAAATTCGCTTTCTTTCACGCCCCTAAAGACCTACAGTGCTGGCTAAAGGAACTGGTTTTCCAATGCTGCACATTTATAATGTACATAAGTACTGATGCTGCTGATTCAATCAGGACTGAAACAGCGGCGCTGCAGATTCAATAAGGGCTTTTATAAATTGTTGGCATGCTGGAGGAAGGGAACAGTCCCACTTCCTCCAACCTCTAACCGCAACATTTGCTTCAGCAATAAAGAGGTTCCAGCTCCTTCGACCATTTAAATTCTGAGGGACTCTGAGGTGAATCACTGGACCTGCACTCTATACATACCAGAGTCAATATGTGACACCGCTCTAGTCGTCTTAACAAGCGTGACACTGAGGATAGACCCTTTCTGCTCGACTCTGTATGAACCAGCCTCCCGGCGACCCCCAATTCCACGCTGTGTATTCACAGTGTCAGGGCCTCGGCTGCAGGGGAGGAATGACTAGTTACCACAGCGCCAGCTTCTCTGGTGGGGTCTCTCCGCTCTCTAATGCAAACATCCCCCACCTTCTTTTTTTTTGTTTGTTTCATTCACAGGAGGCCCTCACAGTGTTTAAAGAAGCAATACAGAAAATGCCAAGACAATTTGCACCACAGAGCCTCTACAACATGATGGGTAAGTGCTGCTTTTGTTTCAAGAGCACAAGCATAAAATCTGTTGTTTTTAAGGAAGAATATCAGACAGCGGAACTGACGGGACGGGTTATTTTGGAGCAATTGGCTGCTTTACATCATGTGTTTTTGTTTTACTTTGTTGTGCTGGGTCTGTTAAAACAAACCTTTTTTGTTTCTTCTGGACAGGCAGCATCTTAACTGAACCAAACTTTCAGTAAGCATTAGTGGATTATTAATTGTGAGTAAGGCCACTGCTTACAGCCCGGTTAGATGTTTTACACTTGTAGCTTTGAATGTTGGATAGTCTTGGGCTCGCCAGCACAAAGCAGAAACATCCGAGGTTGAAAAATAAAGCCTACGCAGAAATGCCAAGAACTGCTTTTCCTCAAATGGTCAGTTGAAGCTGACTCAAGAGGCAAGAAAATGCCCAACTTTACAGCAAAAATAACGTGTTTACAGCCTGAGTAAAAAAAAGAGTTTTTTGTCTCTACAGCTAATTTCAACTCTACAGGGGTTGAACTATATAACTCACCCATTTATACTTAAATAAGGCTCAAAGGTATGCATATTTAAGGGCCAACTGAGCTGACAGGCAGTCTGTAAGGTATCACTACTGTCTAGGAGTGAAATCCACCCCTCACTTATCCCACAGCTCCACCCTCTCGTCCAATTATGGTCACTTCTGGCTCCAACAAACCAAGATGGTGACGTCTGAACTTGAGGCCTAAAACCAGTGGGTAATGTCATGGTAGCTACATCCTTTATTTCATACTGTCTGTGACTAATACTCATTGTGGAGCAGGAGTATCCCAGACCTTTTGGGAATTTACCCCAAAAACACCGGTTAAAATCACTTGTGAAAGTTAAAGTTGGAAGATAACCAACACAATGATTGCTGTCTGTGATTGCAGATTTCTCTGTTCATTAATGATTCAATATTTTCATGAGCAAAAAAGAGGAAATCAAACATTTGTTTTACCACTAGGGCTATGAGAATTCAGAAGATGTTAACTCCGGGTTCATATTTCCAGTTGTGAATCTTAAACCTGGGGCTTACTGTAAGCTCTAGCTTATTAGATAAGAAGATGGAGGAAGACGGAAACGAGGTTATGGTCAATCTAGCCTTCTGCAGCCTTTTATTAGGTTAAGCCAGGGCTAAGATGTGCTCCAAAAAGTTTGGGGGAGCCTTTCTGTGTGGAGTTTGCATGTTCTCCCCCAAAAGTGTGGGTTTTTTCTTGGTACTTCTGGTGTCCAATGACATGCAGGTTAATTGGTGACTCTAAATTGTCCGTAGGTGTGAATGTGAGTGTGAATGGTTGTCTCTATGTCTCTGTGATAGTCTGGTGATCTGTCCAGGGTGTACCCCGCCTCTCGCCCAATGTCAGCTGGGATAGGCTCCAGCAACCCCCCCATGATGCTCACAAGGATAAGCAATTAGGGAAAATGAATGTATGAATAGAAGTAATTGTCAAAAAAATGAGTGTTGGATAGTGATACAGCAAACAACCACTTATATCAGTTCATATCAGTGAAATCCTTGTTTGAGAGCCTTGAATTAAAGCTATTAAACAGTGTTTTGAGACAGTAGTAAGCTTTACAATATCATGTTAAACAGAGTTAATTTGCTTTTCACTTCAAGAACAAGCCAGCTTGTTAGATTACAGCTGTAGAACAGCTGCTTTCAGGCTCATTATAGCTGCTTTCTCTTTGCCTTTTTTTTTTTTTTTTTTACCTTTTTTCTCTCTCTCCGTCTCCCTCCTGCTTTCTCTTTCTCACACACATGCTGCTACTTACACACATAGACATTTCGAAACCTGGGACGTCTGTAATCCAGACTTGGTAGTGCCACGGGTTCGCTTGTGTGCTGGCAAAATGCAATTTGACAGAGCTACCGAGATTATGTCAAAATGTTGATGAAAGCTCCAGTCACCGTTAAGGAGCAGCGCTGTGTCTGTAGCGGAGGCACCGTGCCAGAGATCTGCGATTTCTGCGGCTTAGCGATTGTTTCCTCGCTGAACTGATTTGCACATTTGGCACACCTGCTCATATCTATCTCCAGTTTTCACTCAGTGCGCTGCTCTCATGCTGTTTGTCAGACGCCAAGGAGCAGAAGCTTTCATCAGAGGCAGACCTGGGTGGTAATCTGCACCCTGCTGGTCCCGCTCCAGCACTCTCTGGTGGGCCGAGGAATGTTCCACTCCGAGGGGCTGCTTTTCAGCTCCTTGGATTCGATGTCACTTCTAATTGTGCGTTGATATTTGTGCTAATCTCATACAGAGGTCTGCAGCCAGGGCAGCGAGACAACTATTTTGGCTGCTTTAAAATCTGTTAACTAATGAAACAGTCACGTCAAAACAGACCTGTACATTTTCTTAAGTCTTTCAATGCACCAATAGGGACGGTGGTAAATCTCTGAGATCCAGATAATCCTGTATATTGAATACACAGATGATTTGTTAAACTAAAGTTATCAGTATTGCACTTGTCAAATAGTATAAATCTCAGTTTGGACTGAAAAACACAACAAGCTGGCCGTGGGAATATGGCAATCTTTAAATACCATCTCCAAATTTGTGACATCCTCTAATCCACTCTTTGCTGTTTTTGATGTAAGCTGTTGACAAGAGCATTTGTGATTATGTGTCTACAATATTATGGATTTCCAACACTTAAATCTGAAACATAAGGCTGCACTGATGGATATCATCTTGAAAATATATTCTCATGTATCACTCTACATCTCGAGGGGGAAAGTCCTTAAGCTCGGAGCTCTAATTTTTTTCCCAATGAAAGGAAGTCACGTCTTAAATTTGATGCTTTTAACATGCCTGTGTGTTAGAGGTATTATTATACAGCGTTATCACTCATTCGCAGTAAAAGGAGAAAGAGTGTTTTCAGATCATTAAAAGAAAGTCCCAGAGTTGTGATTAGTCGTGTGACACCTGTTGCTTATCAGTTTCCGATCAGGGAAGTGATTAGTCCTAATCCTCTCAATTAAAGTGTCAGTCCACTCCAGTCTAAACAACATGGACACTCCAGTTCAAGTGAAAGTTTAACAACTGGGATATGTTCTGTTTCTTTCCCTAAATATGTTGTAATGTTGATTTAAACTGTGTTGTGTCCCATTACTAGACGATGTTGTCAAATTCTTGCAATAATACACGTGTTGTTGGACGGCTATGAAAGGGAGGTTATTGTTGTTTCAGGTGTTAGCAGGCAGAGGGTCAGATCAGGCGGTGGGGGAGGTATCGGATGATGTCTGACAGATCAGCGAGAGCGAGGGAGTGTGTTATAAACTCAGTAATATTCCATAGTTTTTTTAAGCCACACTGAACTCTGCCAATTTCAGTTTTTAAGAAATAAGTATTCTGATTGGGTATCAAAGATTTGCTGTTATAAAAATGAAAGTAGACTATAAATTGTCTCTGCAGTATGAATGTGGCGCTCTAAAACAAAGCTTAACATTTGCATTCTCTTAGCTCAGTGCCAGTTGTTATACAAGTATGTAAAAACATATAATGGTTTCTGGATTGAGGTCCAATCTCACTGCAGCTCTGTTATTGAAACCGTCAGCTGAACAAAGGGAAGATGTGTGATGACATAACCTCTGACAGCGTGACCCCTGACTCGACTCTCACTTTTGCTTTCACAGGAGAGGCCTACATAAGACTAAACAAGCTGTCTGATGCTGAACACTGGTACAGAGAGTCCCTGCGAGCCAAGCCAGACCACATTCCAGCACACCTCACCTATGGCAAACTCCTGGCTATGACGGTAAGACTTTGATCATTTTAGACCCGTTTCCACTAAGCAGTACGGTACGGTTCAGTTCAGTTTGGTACACTTTTTTTCAGTTTCCACTGTGAAAAGTTGTGGATGGTACCAATGGAACTGTTCTGCACCGTCCCCATTTTTGGTACCCCTTCTGTTGGGGTACCTAGCTCACAGATCTCGTACTCAAAGGTGGAGCTGTGAACACTGAAAGCCGTTGACAGTCACTCTGCTCAGGGCCGAACTGTGGCTGGTTTTGAGGCTCATGTAACCACTGTTCATACCGCGGAGAGTTTTATTAGTAGACTGTAACTATAAAATAAAATGTTATGCTGCCTCTCGCAGCAGCTGGAGTCGGAGACTGCCGGCAACTTTTAAGGTGGAATGTTGACTTGTAATGTTACTCAATGCATGAGTTCATGACGTGAATCCATCAGCACACCTCAAATTTCACTGTGACAACTTTGACCATTACTTTCACATTACTAGTTTTTATATGACATACACTTTTAGTAATGGGTGGATCTTCAAGCCTTTATATATATTAATTTCAACCAGATTACGTGAAGGCATATACTCAAATCGTCACTCAGAGAAACAAAGTTGTGGAGTGTGGTCCCTGTGGGCTACATCAACACTAAAGCCCTGAGCTTGCCTGAGAAGGACTACATGCACAAACCCACTATTTTTAAATATCCCATGGAGAGAGACTCTCACTGCAGACCGTTTTATTCTGTTCTGAAAATGTCGGTGTGCAGCCTCGTTCTGTAGATGATAAACGAGGCGCAGACTTCCATCTGTGTCACTGATAATGAGGAAATACAGTGAGTGCTGGACAGAGCAGTGAGTGACAACAACCACGCCCACATTTAAGGGTACTATTTGCGGTCTAAGCGCTAGGGTCTAGGTAACATGTCTGAAGGGTTACTTTTGGTTCCAAAGGTACCATACCAGAAGTGTTTGATGGAAACGGGCCTTTTGTCATGAATGTGTGTGTGAATAGGTGAATATGACATGTAGTGTGAAAGTGCTTTTTGTGGTCAAAGACTAGAAAGGCCCTATACCAGTGCAAGTCCATTTTACCAAATCGGTGACATCAGTCTAACTTAATGCCTCCCTGAACCCGTTCTCATACTCTGCCTGTACTCTCTCAATTCTTTTCACTTTCTTTTTTATTGCACTCTCTTTCATCTCCCCTCGTATTTCATCACTTTTCCCCAGCTCTTTACTGACGACAGTAATGTCCTCCTGAGGTCTCTACAGTTAATCAATAGTGTGCGGGTGAGAGAGGAAAGATTGGAAGAGAGTGGCGCTTGAGAACGAGGGAAGGTTGTCACGTTGTGTTTCTCAAGATGTTCCCCTCTGTCATGGGAAAAGGACTTCCTGATTAAAAACCTTGTCCTGGCTGTCCCGTTTTTGGTCCATGTAACTTGTTACTAGCTCTTAAAAAGTAGCTCAAAAAACTGCATTTGTAACTTTGAACCAACAGCAAAACAGATATTAGGCAGTTGGCGAGTTTGCAACGTTGCTCTGGGGAGTAGGGAATTGAAATCTCTGAGCGCTGTAAAGAAAGAAATCGACCTCTGACCAGCATTTTCCAGGACAGAGACAATATCCTTGCAGGGTCACACAGCTGACCTGTGTTTCACCGACCAAAGAAGCTGCTGTGTATGTGGAGAGGTTTCAGGAGAGAAGCAGTTTCCATAGTCGCAGAGTTTACGAGGAGATGCTCATGTTGTCGGGTCATACAGTCATCCGTTGCAGATCGCTGCGAGATAGGCATGTTTGGAGTAGAGCTGACCGAGAGGAGCAGTTAGAGCTGAAAGAGACTGTCAGAGGAGAAATAAACAAATTAGAGGAAGAGTTTCACATACGGTCAAAAGAAGGGTGGAGGCCTTCTCTTCAGCTGACACCACCGTCTCTCTCACAGTCTGGGCCCTAATGAAAGGATGTAGTAAGTGTGCTCAGTAGCCTGAAGCGGTGGGATCTGGATCTCCACTGAAAGGCTGCAGTCTTCCTGGCCCTGTCCCTTTTCATTTCCCCGATGGAAACAGAGTCTTTTTCAAGTTCTTTTTTATTTGTAGTCTTTCCAAAATTGTGAGTTTTTGTGTTTCACAGCTGATATGTGTGGAAGAATTTTACCCACACATAATTTACCTCAGCATACTGGTAAAAACTTTTTTTTTCTGGCATGTCTTGGCTATTTTTGTGAGTTTTTCCATCAAATCTTTACATTAAGCCCTTAGATAGAAATAGTATGATTAGGAATAAGCATGTTTGCATTCTTGCAGAGAGCTTGATCAGATGATTGATACCATTCTCATATCTGTGCAACAAATACAAAGCTTCAACCAGCAGCTGGTCAGTGCTTAACACATGGACTGGCTTGGTTCTGTCCATGACAAAATCCATCTATCAGCACCTCTAAAGCTCAACTATTAACATGCTGTATCTGATTTCTTTAATGTGTACAAAAAGCTGTGTAAAAATGACACTTTGTGTTTTTTAACAAAGGTTATTTGCTTCACTGTTTCTTGAACAGGCTTGGTAACTTCTGGCATATGAAAAGTAAAGGAATATGCTTGAAAAATACATTTTGGGAAATAGGCTTGTATGTGGTCTTGCCAAGAGTTAGATGAGAAGATTGACACCATTGTCTGTAGAGTCTGTAGGGTAAATATGAAGCTTCTCCACAATGCAATCATTCAGTACAATCAACGGAAACCATAAGCACCAAAGTATAGCTTAATGGACTCAAATTTACCGGACAACTCTGGCATAGTGAACAAAAGAAACTGCTGGGTCCTAAAATCTGAATATGCACTCGTCCCTCAACTATTTCTATTCTTTAGACTGTTAAAGGGTCCATTGATCAAAAGAATGCATAGAGGTTTACATAAAAAAACTAGAGCACTCGGAGAGCGCAGACCTCCGCCAAGCAGCTCGGATTTCCCGCCATTTTATTATTTTATCCACTTCGCTTCAACCGATCACCACCCAAATTTTATCATCTGTTCCTTGTCCCATTATCAACCTTTCCTGAAAATTTCATCAAAATCCATTCAGAACTTTTCGAGTTACTTTGCAGACAAACAGACAAATGTCGGTGAAAACATAACCTCCTTGGCGGAGGTAATTAATCCAAGTTGTGAATATTAGCGTATGAAGTCCATGGTGAACTGTGTATGTCAATTTCTATCATCAAACCATGGATGTATCAAGAGACTTACATTAGATGGACCACAGTTCAGCATTCCCTCGACTTCTTTCACAGTGCTCCTGGGTATGCTTGTTTTCGTTACCTTGCCGGCTACATGATGAAAGTGTCTAAGAGCTTTTCCGTGTACTTTTCACCCTGAGACAGCCCTCAGAGTACAGCATGCGCTAGTTTAGAAGTCAGATGAGCTCTGTATCTTTGCAGCCACCAAACTACATTTTTAAATGCCATTTTCTTTGCATCATGGCTCAGTGACAGTCATTATCTTATGTGAATTATTTTGCGTAATAGGCTTTCTGCTATCACACAGTGTATTAAGCTGATTTCTTTAAGTTATATTGTTGCCTATAAATACCAACCCCACAATGGCGATGGTTGTCACAAGTGCATAAGCCATATTTGACACTTCATACCTTTGAACAGAATAAGCTTAAGGAGAGTAAGGCCACTTCATTCTTATCAGACATTTTTTGCTTTCATTAGACTTTGAAAGGGATCTCATTAAGGACACGGTTTTTGAGAGGTTCAGATGAAAGTAAAAAGTGACACAACCAACCCTGTGCTCCCTCAAGGTACAGACATGAGAGTGGTGCCAATCTTTTCATCTAACTCTCGGCAACAAAGCAAAATGTCAGACTACTCAATTAATCTGATAATTACGTTAATGCTTCCTCGTGGGCTCAGTAATGCCATTAGGTAGCATGTCTTCAGTGAAGTATTCTTAGGGTTGTAGATCATTATATGTCTATATTAAATTGAGCCACAGCACTATACTAGATTGATTTTGCCATCGGTAGTCAGACTGATGGTCAGCTTAAAGAGTAGCTCAACTGACACCTCAAATAAAAGTCTCTTGTTAAGCTGACATGAATTCCTCTCTGTACAAAAGCCACTGGACATCAGAAACTGTCTGAGACCGAACACTGTCAGCGAGGACAGTCAATGGGAACAACACAATTCTTTAGTGGAGACTGTTAAGACTTGTTGAAGTGGACTCAGGGAAGAATTCAGTGGGCCGTGAAGAGAAACTCATTTTATTTAAGAAAGTGTTATTGATTTTGGGGAAAAGTAGAGCTCAAACCTGCAGGGATGAATCTCTGTAGATCTCTGACCATGATGGATGATAGAAGGGTTTGAGCCCCCGTGATCCTGTGAGTGCAAACAATGCCATCAGAGGAGGGAACTTAGTTGTTTAGACAAGCTTAGAGCCTCTTTATCCATTAGGGAACTGTGAGAGAAAGAAGTTTTTATATTGAAAAGTGCTGGAAAGTTGTACCGATGAATTCGAAGTTAGGCTTATGTATTTTCTTCCTGTTGTAGCTGTGGCCTCTTTGCGTGATGACAACAGCATTTAAGCATGATCAAAACCAGCGCAGAAAGTTGACCTGCCCACCCGCCCCCGCTCCTTTCATCCCCCACCTCCACTCTCCCCATGGCACCACTGTGAGTGATGAAGATGCTTCAGATACTGTCAGGGGTTTTGAGGTTCAGATCCCTGCGGGAGAGGTGGAGAGACAGCGAGATAAGGCTTGGCAGCAGGGTCAGAGAAGGGTGAGAGGAGGACGGTGGAGCTGAGCTGGTAGCTGAGCTGAGGGGCAGAGAGTTACGAGTCGCTGTGATGTGTGCATGAGGGGGAGACAAAATACAGGAGGAAGGGAGAGTTAATAAGTAAGATCAGTATTGTCCCCCCAGCTGCGCTGACCCCTCCACACCTCCGCTGACACCCCAGGGATCAGGATGTGATTCGGGCTCTCTGTACACACCGCAGGTCAGAGATGGACACGGCCGCCCTGATGCCTGCAGTATTGGATTCAGTCATCTACTCGTCATTTCCGCAGCTAATACGATGCAGGCTTCATTCATAATCACCCCGGTGACCGCAGAGCCGGAGCTACATCTGCAGTTTATCTGATGTTATCAGGAGATTTGAAGTGTGAGGCACGCACCAATAAGCTCAGCATGTATGTGACAAAAGGGAGGATATTGTATCCGCACGATGAGCTGACTAGAATGAGAAGTGGATATATTTAATGGAAAGTGTGGTTTGAAAGGTTGTTGGCATTTTGTTATTAACTTCCTATATTGTATTTGTGTTTTCCACCCCCGCCCCCATGCTAGCGGCCTCAAGGTGCTTTCAATTCAACAAAGAGGAAGCGTTGTCATGTCAGGAAATGTAGAAATGGGGTGACAGCAAGCAGCCTGGCTTAGGGTTCCGCTGAGTCTTGTCTTTGTCAGTTCAGCTGTGTGCTCTCCATTAGCACTCATGTCACATACAGTTATTATTATTTCTTTCCAGTATATAGGTTCCACTTTAGGAAGAAAAATCCTGTCCTGCAAACAAATTACTACACATGCATTTCCATTCTTATAGTCTGGCACTTGACTGGAGAAAATCTAGTTTGCCTTTATGATCCCTTACCCTTGAAAGTCGATCTCATTCGTCCACATTATAAAGAGTTGAAAGTAGGGTTGAGCCGAACACTCAGATGAAATGAGTATCCAGTACTGATAATGTATTTTTTACACGTGTGAGTAACATCCGAGTATAATGTGTCATTAGTCTGTTCTGTAAATAGTTTCCTAATAAATAATATAGCAGCTTCTGATCAACCCGTATCAGTTTCAGACTTAAAATCAAAACTTACCGTCAGATCTAACCCACTTCCGGCCAAGCCTCACCCCATTTCTATTTAAACCCGCCCACTAGGAGTACGGATAAGGAACCAAATAATTTATCTGATTAAACAGATACAGATAACAGTGTACTCATTAATCCCTTGTTGACAGGATGAATCATAAAATGGCAAATGGCTGCCTTTATACTGTGAATACCGTGAGTTATAGTGAAGCCAATTTTGTCCTTGTCTTTGAAATTGTTGCTATTAAGCCATGTTTAATGTGTATTCTGGGTGTGTTTTGAATCGACTAAACTTTACAGCGCTTCACAGAAACACCACTGCCAACTAGTGTTTTGGAGGTGTAACTGCAGAGTGACACAGACACACCACCGCACAAGTATAAATGCTTACAACAGCGTAAGCCACTTGCTTAGGCTTTGCACAGAGCTGACTCAGTATAAATCCTGCTTTAGCCTTGTTTGCACACACTAGAGTTTTGCAGAGGCCTAAAACTGAAACCTGAACCCAACCTTTACCCGAGCCTTAACCACCTGACCCAACTGAGCCTGATGGGTATTTCGACATTGAAGATCCGACCCAAGATCCAGAACCTATATTTTTTGCTTCACTTTGTCTGTTCATGGCAGACTGTTAGTTAGTCAGGCATGTGCAACACACTGACGATGCCCTTTTTCCTTTTCCCCACTGGGCAACACGCATCTTATTCCAACACACAACACATACTATATGGACAGAGAAGATTGGCACTGTCAGAGAGCTTATTAAATTACATTTGACATTATCCTCTCCTGATCCAAGCCGAAAACTTTACACAGCAAAGGTTGGGTCGCAGAACTTTGGCTCAAAAAATGTTGAATAAAGAGAAACCTGATCATTTTTCTCCTTGTCCTGAGCAGTGCTGGTCATACCTTCGATGGTGGCGGAGTTAACTCACATTGGGTTGGAAGCACCACCATGATTGACTTACCAGAGAAAAACAATAATGGTTGGGTTTCATGATTAGTCATAGAGACATACAGGTGAGCCAAATGCGTTATAATCCAGAAATTTGAAAATGAAAGAGGATGCAGTTGCCAGTTTCAGGGGGTAAAGTCATATAACAAGTAGTGTTGCCTCTCTGGGGATTAATAAGAGGTGTAATAACATTTCTTTTAAGACGTTTAATGAGAAATGAGCAACTTGTTACGGTTTTGAGGTCTTTACTCCTAACTGCCGTATATCAAACTCCGGGCATGGCATCCATTAATATACTTAGACTTGTCATAATATAAATCCTCCATCTACTCACAACTGCAACTCATTTCAATGTGTGAAAGCTTAATTCTGAGGTTTAAAAAACAGACGTAGACCTGTGTTATTATAAAACCAGCTGGCCCTCAAAAATACACATTCCTACATCTGTGAATACGAGTATGAAAATACACAGAGATGATGCTTTTCAGGCTGGAGCTGTGATCGGTACTTGGACACCAACAGCTCTATTCAACATATACTTAGCAAGGGCTCGATTTTCCGCAGCATCAAGGGAAACCCCACTCAGATATTTACATTAGAAAATTATGTATTTATTGAATCTACAGCTCACTGAAAACGTATACGCTCCACTAAGTATACAGTCATTAATGCTACACTGTACTGATTGGATTGGAGCCCGTTCCTGTATTTGACTAAACTGAAGCAATTTGCCGTATTTCACACTCAGTTCATATACATTATTTTTCCTGGCTTATGCAATCTTAATTTAATCCTTCTTCATCTTTATTTCTGATGCTTTGGCATTTTACCTCAAGCCCTTGTAGACTTGGCACAACTCCAGTTTAACATTATATGTTTTATTCATGCAAAGGCATTATCGTTTCTTGAAATGCACACTAATGGTTGCACTGTTAATGCTAAAATCAGCTTTTATAGATGAGTGCGCATTGTTAATTGTTGATCAGATGGCATCTGGTGCCCAACTGAGAGCAGGGATGTGTCAAAGTCCCAGCTGGCACGACTATTGGCCAGCTGCTCTGTTCTGTTTGTGCTGTGATTGGTTACGTGTCACAGTCTAAAGGACCTGAGGGGAGCCCTGGAGGTCCACGGGGTTTTAGCGATGCCTCTCCTCATCATGCTTTGCTCACGCTCCCAGTATGGATTCTTTCATCTGTCTAAAGGCTAGAGCAGCACTGTACACACTTATAAAACCATTAGTGTGTGTGTGCCATGCACCTTTGTGTGCTTACGTGAACCTAAAGATCCCTATAGATATATGATCATGCTCACATTCTGTCCCTTTCCGCTTCTCTCCTTTCCACCTTCTCACTCTATTCTATACACTACTCTCTGTCTTGTTTCATAGCGGTCAGGCCACACACACCGGCAACCTGCGGTTATGCTCTGGAAGTGTTATTTGCACAGATAAAAGTGTGTAATGAATGAGCCTTTGCCCCGTCTGGTCCGCTGTGCCAAGCACGACGGTGTGTACTTTGACAGGAGGACACATGAGCTTGAAAGAATAACACTCGCGGTTCATGTGTTTCATGTCTATTTATTAAGATTTATTGTTAAAGTGGGTCTGCGGTTTGGAGAGGGACATTAGGTATACACAAAGGTATTTTGGCCGTTGAGCCGGGCGCGGTATTTTTATAATGAGTAGGTTTGAGGAGCAGTTGAAACAATAATGACACTGTGTTTAATCCGTCTCTCTCAGGGGCAGAAAACAGAAGCGGAGAGGTACTTCCTGAAGGCCATCCAACTGGATCCCACAAAGGGCAACTGCTACATGCATTATGGTAAGCATCGCTTTATTTCTTATTTTACTTTTAATTTGACATATCCCGACTTTATTCTCACATCCTCAAATCTTTTATTTGTCGATTTAACACATAACACGCCGCACTTGTGTGCACAAAGGCAGGAACTTCTGCACTTTGAGGGGTTGTACAGACAACAGTGTTGTCTGACCCCTTCGCCATCCCTTCCTCTATCCAGCTGCGGTGTCAGTCCGTACGTGATTAGTGGAAGATCGTAACAAGAGGGGATGATTTCCTCAGATTGTTCTCTTTTATTTGATGGAAATGTGGAACGTGACAATTTAAGCGTCTCTCTTGTTTTATATGATCTCCATTTGACTCACACATGATTTAAAGTTGCAGTGTCACCTCTTGTATTTACTGTCATATAAGATTAAGTTTGAATAAGCTGAGAAGTTAATTAAATATTTCATTTAAAAGCCTTTAAAACTTTGTCCGACACAGAAGTTTATGACAAAGTGATGAGTCAGCTTGTTACTATTGCACCAGCTTGTTTGTGACATTTGAAGAGATCAATACGCCAGATAAATGGTGGATTTTTGCATTTTGTGGAAGTACTGTATGTCCATGTTGTTGCCTTTAAAGGTTAAGAACTCTGTCTAAATTGAGTTGGACCATATTGATCCACACAAGGAAAGAGTGTCATTACAGAGGCGAAGAACAGGATAAAGATGGACGTGCAACTGACAAGTAATTAAAGGTTGTGCGTCCACATTATGCAAACTCAGGCACAAATCATACATTTTACAGCACCTTAGTCTGATTAGGGTGGCTGCTAATAGTTTACAGTTTCATATGTTCACAATTTAGCACAGAAACAAACCCAAAATGGTGTTATGTATTGTTGGATATGTGGTTTCGATACTAACTGAATGTAAATCATCAGAAAAACCCCAAAGCCCAGGTCTCCCACTGTCCTGGAACCGGTTCAGTGTTCAGAACTAGATCTTCCACTATTCCCTGAAAAGTCATGCTGTAACATGATAACAAGAATTACAGTATCAAAGTCTGTATACACAGCTTTGTAAAATATAGGGGGGCTCCCACATTTATTGATGCAGGGGCTGTCTGTCCTTTATTACCCATACATGTGCTTTGATATATCATAAACCCTCCATATAACTGCGGAGGTGTTTGCAACCTGGAGCTGTTTTACACTCAGTCATGGTCTGAAGTCTCAGTTTACATCACCTCAGGCTTGTACTCACGGGTTCAGTTTCATCCACAGTTATTAAGGAAATATGCTTAGGTTCACATAGTGGTTTAGCATCCCGGTACAGTAGCGGGGCTAACCAATGTCAACAGGGTATTAATTCCTCTCTAACCCTGCCCCTGACCGAGGAGTCCACCCTCAGTTCACGGCCCTGACAGGCTCCCGTGTTCCCATCTCATTCTGCGGGTCCACGGAGGTCGACTCTAAATGCAGCCGCACCCGTAATGAGACACAAACCTCCTGGGAGAAACATTTCCATCTTAAAGAAACAGATATATCAAGGTCGGTTTGTCTGAACAAATGGCTCTGAGATATGGCCAAAGAGTGATGGTACGTTGTACTCATATCTAGAGTTTCAGCATATTATTACAGGGGCAGACCAGGCTGTTGCTCGACCAGGGCCAAAGGCAACACTTGCAGACTGTGTATCCCTCTGTGCCTCCATGGGGATCCCTTAGCGTTTTAACAGCGGTGTTGTTCTCTCCTGCCCTGCCAGGTCAGTTTTTGTTGGAGGAGTCGCGGCTGCTGGAGGCGGCGGAGATGGCAGAGAAAGCCGCGCGCCTCGACAGCGGGGAGTTTGATGTGGTCTTCAGTGCGGCCCACATGCTCAGGTGAGTGTTTGATTTGAACAATTCTGTTTTTGATGATTTCCATAGCCCCAGCACATGCACAAAGACACTGTATGTATTTGTAGATGAGTTGGGTGGCCCACAGTTTTCCATGGCTGAGGAGAAAGGAGGCTGTGTATGAAAGAGGGAGGTCTACTGTCTGCACGGTTTATCCAGGGGCTTACACTACTCCTCAGCCAGTGTGATTTACTTGGCTGTACTTTGTAATCCTCTTTTCTCACTGCACTGCCAGCCCAAGAGCTGCTGGTTTGTCTTAGCGTGCTGTGCAGCTATGTATCTTCATATGCTCTCTCTCACTCCCTCTATACCTCCCTCTCACTCTGTCTCACTCTTTCTCTGCTGGGCCTGGCTCATACTTGAAAGTCTGCTTCCAAATTAGTGAAAGGTTCAGCTGATGAGCCTGAGCGGCAAAGCCTCAGCAGCCCACAAGCTGTTGTGTTTCTGAACACAAGCCATGAGTGGAAATTTGTAAATAAAGTCATGTGCCAACTTGCAGTATGCTGCCCCACTGACTAAATAAACCTATAAAATTATACAGTATGGCCAAGTGTAGAGAGTTCCCTGTTTTAACACATCATGTGTAACTCGGGGCTTTTTAAATGACTGCTACCTGCTGACAGGAAGTAGTTGTCTTTAAAGGAATAGTTTGACATTTTTGAAAATATGCATATTCTTATTCTTTCAGAGAGGTAGGTGAAAAACAATCATGAAGCCAAGACCAGCAGCTGGTTAGCTTAGCTAGCCTAAAGACTGGAAGCAGAAGGAAACAACTAGCTTGGCTCTATCCAAACGTAGCAGAGTTTGCCCACCAGCACTGCCTTGCAGGTTAAAAAAACCTATATGGAAAAACGACATGCTGGGATGTGTACAGGTTACTGCGCCCAGCCAGGAAACAGCCCAATATATATGCCACATTCAGATTGTTCACAAAGTAGCCTAATTATGAGCAATCAAGTCAGAAAAATGTATGCAGTTGTAATTCCAAGTCAGAGAAATCAGGAGTTTTGACAATATTGTCCACGTGGTGAAAAGAACTACAGAGGTGCAAAGAGCGAAATTGCTGCAGAGACACCATAGCAGTAACATCTAAATAAAATCCAGTATCACACTGATACAGTGAACTCAGCTAATATCACAGGAGCTATACACTGCTTTCAACAGGTCTCAGTTGTTACTGAAGTCAAATTGGTAACAGCAAAGTACAATATTACATCAGCACTCCAAAGCTGGAATACCCTAACAGAGGATTTTCTTGTTCTTCTCATTCTGCTGATATCGCATGACGGCAGCCCATGCTTGTAAAACCGAATGTGTCATTTCTACACTTTGCAGTCCTGGTATGGATTAAACAAATGAAATGTAGCATGTTAATTATTGAGCTTTAAAAGAGCTGGTGGGTGGATTGTGGTAACTTTTGGACAGAGCCATGTAGCTGTTTACCCCTGTCTCCAGTCCTAATGCTAAGCTAAACTAATCACCTTCTAGCTGTAGCTTCATATTTAGCCCACAGTCACAATTTGGGATGTCACAAGAATTGATACTTAGGCACCAAGTCGATGCCAAAATTCTGAAGACATGACAGTACTAATTTTTCTCCAGTACTGTTGATACTGGGCAGTTCTTCTGGACCTGACAGGGCAACATATATGCCTGCTATTCTGTGCTAAGCACTGCACATTGTGGTTGAGAGAGTTGAAAAATGTTCAACTTTGGCTAAAGGCCCTGACACACCAAGCCGTCAGTCAGCCGTCCGTCAAAGTTGGGCTGTTAGTGAGTGTCTGTGGCCCTTGTTGGTGCAATGTGTCCTGCACTGTTGGTGCTAATTGGTCTTTTTTCTGCTAATTCAGCATGTTGAATACATGTCAGAGAATGAAGTCACTCTGAATGGCAGTTTAGCTCAGAAAGGACAAACAGAAGTGAGGTATGTAAACAAAGAGCTAAAGTCAAGAGGGAGTGAGGTCGAAACAAACTTGTTATATGAAGTAAGATTATTTTTCTTTAGCCTTTGAACCCTTTAGAAGAAACATTTCCTGATGGTTTGTGTTTTTGTTCACTGGCGCACAGTAAATATGCTCTGTTCTTCCAACATTGGTTTGTGTAATATGCTAACTGGCTAACTAGCGTCAAGACAGTCTTCCGGTTTCCTTTTTTGAATGAGGACTACAGCTGCCTGCTTGTGTGGACGGGTATGTCCTCTCACACAGGCGCAGAACATACGTACTTGTTGGCCATCAGTTTGGTGTGTTCATGTGCAACTTTTTGGCGGAGACACAGCGACTTAAGGCGATGCAGCAGGGGGCTCTCGTCCCTGTTGGTTTTCTGATGTTGGTTTGGTGTGTCTGGGCCTTTACTTTCTACCCAGCTGTCCACGGTGGGGGAAGGGCGGTGCCACCACAAACACCAACTGTCACATCTTACATGTATAAGTGCTAAATAACAACAACAGTGGAGGAGAAATCTGTTAATATACTGTAGGCTATATATTGATATAAGTTTCCCCATCCACAGATCTTCTGAACCCGCATAGACTAGTGCTTTGCATTGGAGACACATCATCAGGGATTAATAATAAAATTTAAATTAAATGTAATTTAATGGAATTGAATTGGGTTTTGAGATTCGCTGGTACTGTTATCAACTATCCTGAGGTGGTACTGTCGATCTTCACATGTAACTCTTGGCAAGAGTTTCCTAAAATGTCCAAGTATTCCTTTAAGATCATTTACCCACATCTTGAATCACCAGAGTCTGGTGCTGCTTTACCCAAGACCACAGCCTTCCTACACAGCTCTATATAAGACTGTTCCCCAGCTGCTATATGCATAGCTCTTCCTCCACCAGTCTGATCACGCAGGATCTTCACCTCCAACAGTTTTCAGTATTGAGAGCCTCTTCCAGGGTCCAGACCCCTGACGGCTAAAGAGCGCTTCAAGCAGTGCTCGGGCTGAACTATTCTCTGCCTGCTTGGCATGGGGTCTTACTTCTCCAAAGCTCATGTTCTTTATGTGTTTGTCTTGGACACAGACGTGGAAAAGCCCTCAGCTGGTGGGGACACAAGTGAATCTAAACGGGGGAAGGGAAGAAATTAAAAGGAGGGGCAAATGCTGTCAGACGTGCAAATGTCTTTTACTGCCCTCCTGAGCCCTTGAGTTTTGACCTTTTAGTTTCCAAACTAATAATTTCCTTCTGCCTCCTTTGAACATTTTTCTTAAACAAAGTCTTGTTTATTGTGTGAATGTAGGACAGGAAAGGTTGGTTAATGGTGAGGCCAGTGGGGATGCACTTCCTGTTAATGTGTCAAATCTCAGTCAGGGCCAAAAGTTACATAATACAGTAACATTAAATCTGTATATTCACAGATAGTCATGGGAAAACGAATCTCTAAAAAATGTACACTAGAACAGTTTATGCACTCATAGTTCACCTTATAGATTCTGACTCAAACCATGTGTCTCATATAAAAATATAATAAACCATATCTGAACGATAACTTTGTATAATACAAGCATATCATGATGTTAGGTATGCCAGTGTATATTTGACTGTCCAAATTTCCAGAAAGTGTATAAATTAGTTTAAATTTATAACCCTATAACGGTAATATAAAGAATATATTGCTTGGCAAGTTACATTAGGTATTTTACATACAGTTGTGCCCTTAGGGAAGATGTCTGTCTTGCAACAAAGAGAATCTTACTCTTAGAAAAAAAGATAATTCTGTGCTCGAGACAGATGGGACGGCTGCAGTTTAAGCACAAATATCTGGCTGCTGCTGAAAATGCAATTTGTTCATTCAGTCATTAGTATCCAACAATGTCACGCTCACTGTCAGTGCTGTGATTTGTGCATGTCTGGGGTTAATAGACCATCTCCAGACAACAAGATGTCAGGGTAAAAGGATCAGTGGTTGGGTTGATGATTTGAAATATGGTCAAGAATTCCTTTCCTCCGGGGATTTTTTTTTTTTTTCATTCCTACTCCATTTTCCCATCCTTCTCTGTATTCCTGCGCTCTTGTAGTCTTACAGTAACTCTTCCTCGGGTTTAAACCCAGGCGGTGGTTTACATACTTGGCCTCCATTGTCTTCAGCCCTCTCAGAACCCACAGTCAGAGGAGCCTTAGGAGGTCTCGCTGCCTTCTTGGTCATGGTGTGGCAGCGCTCCAGTTCTCCTCTGATAATGTGTTTATAAATGTGATAATGATATTATATAATTAGATTTGTGCACTTTTTTTTTCCTCTGAAGGTTGTGCTTTCTAAATATTTTGCTGGCAAACAAACATATGGTTGTGGTTGGACGTGAAACCCACATTTATAATCTCAGGACAAATTCAGCAACTCGAGTCGATGTCTGGATCGCCTTTGGAATGTAAAATGCTTTTTTGGAACAGAGCTGGAAAAATTCAGTCGTACTAAAAAAATAAACAGCAGTGACATGTTCTTATGTTATTCTGAAGTATGCAAGTGGATAAAATGTAGGATAACTTCTTTAAGGTCAAAACTGTGTTTGTAGGTCATGTTCGCAGGACTCTAGTGATGGCAGTGTCAGTTGGTTTATCACTTTGGTCACAGACTGAACGATCTCAACAGCTATCTGAGGGATTAACATGAAATTTTGTACAAACATTCATGGTTCCCAGAGGATGAATCCTACTGACTTTGGTAATCCCCTGACTTTAGAAGCATTGTGAAGGTGACATATGTGGTTTTAAGTAAAATGTCTAGCAATTTCCATGAGTCTCAGCTCTATTTGTGTTTAGTGCATATTAATCTCACAAACCACTGGTTGTTTGCCAAGGGCCAATATTTCAGGCTGATCCACTGTACCCAGACTTCCTTTTCCATGCACCGACCATTCTGGCTCATCTCTATAAGCAGATATCTGCGGGAAAAAAATGTAATACAAAGCCATACAAAACTTACTGTCGGACGATAGTCAGTGGGTTCCAAAAATCTATTTTCAGCCAATGCATTCCGCCACTCCACACAGACTGTTTGCCTGCCATTCAAACGTGATTGATAAATACTACTTTGGCTACAAGCAGACTACTAACAGAAACCAAAACGCTTATGATACCAGTCTTGGACCTTCACCTAGAGATTCTGCATACATATGCAGATTTTTATTTGTTTATTATTTTTATAGAGATAAAGTGCATATTAGCCAATGTTAGCATGCTAAGCTAAGATTGTGAACATTTAATTATACCTGCTTAACATCAGCATGGTAGCTTTGTCATTGTGAGAATGCTAGCATTCGGCCTTTGCACACCGAGTCAGTCTTCTTCGGATGCATTTTTTTTTAATTCCTTCATCATCATCATCATCATCATCATCATCATCATCATCAAAAACAAACACAAAAACTTTGCACACTAATTTCGATGTGTTTCATTGTTCTATTCGTTGTTTAACTACCTGACCTGCTGAAAGTGAGCTATCTAAGTTATGAAATGATTCTGTGAGTCTCGTTCCTCTATCTTGTCACAGCTGTGTCCCGCCGCCACGTTTTCGTCACTGATGTTTGGTCAAACAGTTTTCTAAAGGCTTCTGAGGGATGAGAAAAACGCAGAAAATCTAATGTGTTCCGAAAATTTTAATGACTGACAAAAGTGTCGGACTCAGTTTGCAAATACGATTGACACAATTTGAGGTTGTATTTATTTTTAGACGTGCAACGATTCGGAAGAAAAAAAGGCCTTCAGTCTTCAAGAGTTGTTAACATGGCTGTGGCCGCTTGGTGTTTTGTTCCACTTAGCCCAGTGGTTAAAGATACAAGATATCAGATTGCATTCCTTTGTAGTAATCAGTATTAAATGACAGCTTCTAGGGTCACCACTTGACTCAAAACTTATGGTGGACTTAAGAGTCACAATTTCTGCACCTGATATTTTACTTTTTAAATAAGACCCAAGAAAAATCCACATTTAAGCTGTTAAAGCTTTACCATGTTATATGCAACTGAAAAACATGCATTGTCTACTCATTAATGAAGAAAGAATAAAAAAAAAGAACATTAGAACAGAATGCCTTATGTCTTTCAGAATGAACATAAATCCTATTTATTTACCTGGGCCACTGATCTAGTAATCCTAAAATAAAAGCTTTGCCTTTTATCTGGGACCACATGGATGATGATCCCTTAATAGACCGCGACAGCCTAAATGAAACTGTGGTTCCACCGGCCTCCCTTCCTTTGATCATTACGACTTAAGGGGCTCCACAGCCCGCCGTCGTTGACTCTGTCCTTGACTTCGTCAAAGTTAAACTGTTTGCAATGAGACAATTGTTACCATCAGTGAAAAGCATGCAGCTGTGTACTATAAAGGTGATTTCTGAGATATGGGGGTATTAATAACAGGAAGGCCTTGTGACAGAGGAGCCACAGGTTTGTGTATAACAGTAGGCAGAGCAGGGGCTTATGAAAGAAAATAAAAAAGCATAATATAGGACATCCTGTCTTGACTGCAGGTTTTATGTCCTCAGGAATGGATGATTTCTGGTTCCAGGGACTCATGCCGATAAGCCATCTGCTCCAAAAATCCTTTCTGTCGCAGTGTGGCATATGCAGCAGGTTTCGGTGCATCTGCACCATCTACTCTGCTGTCCCGGTTGTTATGATAGTATGATTGAATTACTTTGGGTTTCCACGCTGTTTGCATTCTTTCATTGTCTCAGTATACATCCAGCATTTCAAACCACACTCCTCCCCCACCAGCTGTAAACAGAAATGTACAGCGAATATTCCTGATCAGCCTCAGTTTGTTGATGAGTTTTCTTCAAGTGCCCCATAAGCCAAATGTCCTGACCTCAAGGTTCAATTTAAACAGAAAGCGGTTGCTCTGCACTGCTCAGCACAGATGTTATCAAGCAAAAGATGCTATCGAACGAGAGACCTACAGGCGATTGGATCGGCTTTTCTCATCCCTCATACTCTTCCCTTCTGTTATTTTCTCAGTGACCCCTGAGTGCCAGTAAACATGCAGGGTTCAAGGCCTCATACGAAGCCAGCAGCAATAAAGATGAGTAATGATTGCCTCTCTCTCTTTTTTCCCTTCACAGACAAGCCAGCCTGAATGAGGCAGCCGAGAAGTATTATGGACAAGCAGCGAGCCTCAGACCCAATGTGAGTACAACCACAACTAGCTAATCACCCCTATTACTATTTACCCTGATGGACACTGTGCAATCATAGTGTGGGTGGCTTTCCAATATTATTACTGCCTGGTCTGCCTTGTCACAACGGCCTTCATTGTCAGTGTGTCTCAGAAAAATGAGAGCTAGGTTTTCACTGAGCTCAGAGGTTTGTTTGCATAGCATCCATCACAGCTTCAAAGGACAGGCCAGGGTACGTAGGTTGAAAAGAATAATGATAACAACACTCAGTGAGGGGAGTCTGACATCTTGAAAATGAATGGGGTCCAGTCTTTGAGAGCTTTGGCAGGAGGGGTCGAGTTGTTTAAGTGAGGGCCGCAGAGGAAGCAAAATATGTTTGCCATGTGGTCACCCTGTTTGTTCCTGCGGCTTGATTAGAAGAAATCAGTTCAGGATTAATGATCAAACTATATCTGGACAGTGTTATACAGACAATAAAGTTTGGCTTTGCATGCACACAACCCCCAGTGTAACATATACAAACAAGGACAAACAAAAAGACAAAACAAAAAAAGTTGAGTATAACAAAGGGATAAAATTTAAGATTTCCACAGAAACCATGAAATTGAGCCGCTGTCCCATTTGTTGTACTCAGTGTCGGTGTAGCATTCAACTTTTGCCAAAGAATTGTATATTTTTAACATCTAATTAAACCCAGATGTAAGAAAAATAATTCTCCACATTGCTTCAGTGCAAACTCGTACATAAATAATGTAAGAGAGTTTAAGGTGAGTTGTGGGAGTGTTTCCATGAATTCTCTTTTATAAGAGGTACACACTCCTCTTTGTGCTGTAAGGACGTTCTCACATCTAATTATTGCTCACTTTTTTTTTATCTCAAAGCTTGCAGAACCTCATACATAAAGGTTGGATTTTTGTTGAAAAATTGGAACTCACCTTGAGAAAGAGCTTAAGCTTCTTTTTCTAGGAGGATTTATATGTTTTGTCCAACAATGAAAGGTATTGGATGGTTTTCTAATGGTTCAGTCATTTTCTTTACCCGCTTGTCCCTTTAAGGTTAAATGATGACAAAATTGTCAGCTTGTTAAAATTCGTTTCCATCCTCAGTCTGACACTGTGTCCTCTCTAACCTATATCCATGAAGGAGGAGTATTAAATTTTCCCTAACCAGTCACTAGAGGCCAACGTGTCTGCCTGGAACTAATGTCATTCAAAGTCCACACTGATGCGTAGCAATGCTAACATACCTGTTTAGCAGGGGTTTTAAGAGCAGAACGGAACAAAGTAAAACAAATTACGATGTTGGGCAATATTGAGAAAATATGTCAATTTAAAATTGCCACGGCAGCGCCTATCTTGGCTATAGCCTTCGCCATTGTTGTTATAATTCCTCAGACAATGCTTGAAAACAGCTCAAAAACTGTGGCAGCTCCACCCATAGCACTGATTGGCTTTTTGAGTCCTTCCGTTGTGTTCATTGGTTGTTCTTTATTTTCACTTAAAATATCATGTTACAATGCCCGACAAATCGGTCAACACGAACTTTGTAGGATGGGCAGATTCAAAGGTCTGGACCCAGGAAACCTTTAAGGGTCATGGGGGCTGAATCCTATCCAACATGCAATGAATGAGAGTCAGTGTAAATTTAGGTCACCAGTCTGGGTTAACACTATTGCTAGCTTAACACAGATGACTGTTGGAGTTACTGTGAGGATACAGGCTTGGCCATTGAGAAGACCACTGCCGTGCCGCCCCCAGATGGATATGTACTTCTGTAAAAACATGCAGAGGATGTTTGTGTTCCTTACAGTTCTACACGGCCATATCCGTTCAATTTCCACATGACTGTTTCTTGGCATGTGTAATTGTACAAACACGCATTTGATGTCCACATCCAAACACAGAGGCAATTTTTTTTGCCCCTACTTGGTCACTTTTGCTTGGATGCCTCTTGCCATTTGTATTGCTTACAGCTGAGGCACAATTATAATTTAGCATCTTCATGCATCTTCTTTACCATTATCCTTTGTTCTTTCCGATGCGACTTGACTTAAGCCATGTACCCTGTCCATCTTCATTTGTCGTGTCATGCTTTACTGCGGCATGACTCTTCACTCTCCAAAGACACTGGTGTTTTATATTAAGCACATATGTTTGCTCGCTCTGAGTGAGAGAAGACAATTCCCTCCATTCAAAGGATTTAGTCCCTTAGTCCTACAATTCCCTCTATCTAAGCGAGCTAAATCTCAAGGGATGCTTCAGTTGCTTTGGTAGATCTGTGCACCCTTTCCTCATTCCACGTAGATATTCTGTGCCTCAATCCCAATCTGAAGTCATTATGGTCTGTTCATTCCCCAACCTAACTTCACTTTTTACTCTTTCAGCCTTTACAGCATATGTTGCTTTACGGTCTAGGTTAATATACTCCACATCTGGCCGTGCCTTTGCTGCTACATGCCAGGTTTGGGAAGGGTATGCAGGCAGAGAGGTTGCAGAGCAGCAGGAAATGAGGAAAAAATGAAAGCTTTTGACAAGGGAACGTTTTGCAGAGTGTTGCAAGTGTGAGGAAGAATGCAGAAGTAGGGATATAAATCACAAAAGTCTTAGAGCTATATGAAGTAGAGGGGAAAAGGCTTTGGTGAGGAAAGGTGGGGAGTCTACAGGGGAGAGTGAAGGAAGGAGACTAAACTCAGGAATTGATAAGTCTTGCAAGAGCAGAGAAGAAAAGACCCCTTTGAGCTGCACTGAGAGGAAAACCAGGAGTCTGTTGACTTTCTACCTAGCAGTCCGAAGCACATTTTAGAATTGTTCTTACGCATCTTGGCAATCTCTCATCCATCTAAAACCTACTCTTTTCTGGACAGACATTGATTCTTGGCAAAAATCTTGTTAAAAGTTTGCTCCCCAATGGCCTTTCCTACAGTCTGTATCATCTGCGGACAGTGTCCTGAGAATCAGGTCCAGGGGACTGTCTGTGTCAGAAGCATTCTCACCTATTGGAAATACTCCATTTCATGTAGGCGAGGGGTGGCACCTGGGTAAAGCATACAAGAGGCAGGACATGATACGGATTATATCGCTGTCACGTAGCCGGTTTTTAATTTGGTCATTTACAACAGAGTCTCTTGCCGTTTCTTTTGTCTGTCTGCAATATAGGCTTTAGCCCTTACCCACAGAAGTTCCAGAATCTCATAATCTCACCAGTTAGACATTTTTGTTGTCATCTTTGTGCAGATGACCCTTCTTCCTCACCCTTGAGAGTTTGATTCTTCCAGTTTTGTGCGAGCCTCATCATTAACAGGCTCACTCGCTTGCTGTGAATTCTCCAGACAATTACCTGCTGTATTCAAACATGGGCCAAATCGCACATTACATGAACTTTGTACTAGAAAGCTGGCAGGGTAAAGTCAGTTTAATGCCCGGTCCAACTGATTCGCTCATTTGCGCTCTCACGTACAGCTCCTCCGGGTAATGTCTAGATAATTTCAGGTTTGAAGTGCATCTATGAAGGGGGCTGAAGGGAAAACTTTCCATTGTGTGTTTTGTGAGAACACAAATTCAGTCTGTTGCCTCAGGCTAAAGAGAAGATACAAGAAGCTTGAATCCTCACTGAAACATTCCAGGCCATCAGATCAGCACATGCAGTTAGATGTACAGTTGTTGTTTCTCCGCATGGCAAGCTGGGTATTAGCTGACCTTTGTTATTCTATCAATTAGTGACATTTATGTGGTGTCATGTTACCATATGAACTGGCTGACCTCGTAGAAACAGACTGAGGCCAAGGGTGTAATTTGCTCTGGGGCTGGGGGGGGGGTACATCTTCCCCCCCACTTTTCAAAGTCCTTTTTTTAGTCTCCATCACTTTTACAACTTAAGTTTGATTCATCAACCAAAAAAACACCAAGCCACAAAAATCCAGATGGGAGAGGCTCTGAGTTGATCAAAATATAAACATTGTCATCTTCATCTATCATCGCCTTGAGTTATTACTGTGCGTTCACCGCAGTTAAGCTTTACAAGCAGTAACGAGTGATTTGCAGGCTCTGTTTTTTGTCCGAGATATTTGGCTTCTCAGGCAACGTACAAGCTGTCCTACCTTCATAGTGGTGATTGTTTGATTGACGCTATTCTTAGAGCTGAAAAAGCTCCCCCAACTCCTTTGCATTTTTGTGTTAAGTACAGTCATTTTAGCTGTTTTTATTTACAGATAATTTCCTAAAAATTACTCTAATATTCGCAATCAAAGATAAGGCAGAAAAAGGTAGTGTTCTTTGTGTTAAATATATGAATAAAGGATTATTTATTGAGTTCAAAGGTCCATTGCTGACTTTGGAAATGGTAGTCTGCATTTTTATAAAATGTAATAACAATATTTATCTAAAAAAATCAACCAAGGAAATTATAAGGTAGATGTTTAGAGCAATGTGTAAATGTTTTGGTATTATGAAAATTATTATGGCCAGTAACAAATACAAATTTAATCCTAATTTATTATGATTAATAATAAATGATTCATAATCTTCTGAAACCAAACCTACGCCCTTGACTGAGATCATCGCAGTTCACTTAACACTGGATCCTCACCAACTCCACAGAATAGCATTAGCGCTCTTTTGCCAATATACACCCACTTGTCACCTACATGTTGTGGATACAGTATTTGTGTGTGGCCCCTTCACTGTCACTTTCAACTATGTCCATATGTATAAACAGTTATATATTTTGGCTAGGATTATTCTGAGTAGTAAAAATCCCCCAACTTGCAAATTGATCCCCCAGCGTTATTTTGTGGTTTGACCTTCAAATGGTGGGTCAAACAGAAGGTAATTTATTGCACAAACAGCCACAGAATTACCCCGACCATTAAAATCAAGAACTCTGGCTGCTCCTGTGAACAATAATTGAAATGCAGGGAAGACGTTTTGTTTTGCTATGGGATTAACGTAATTGCGCAATATGTGTATGTAAAGGTAATACAACATTTGGAGTCAGTGAGTAACAGTTAAAGTG